TTATAAAATCAATATTGAACATTATTAAAATACGAAATATTGAACAATATTCTGAATGATGTATCTCGAGATGTTTGATCTTCTTCTCGATCATTTTCTGGTTCATTTCGAGCTTAGCATTTTTCTTCAAAATCTTATCGTGATCGTTAATTGTTTTGCGCGGGAATAATAAATTTGAAAACCTTGATATAGTTTTATTTAAAAATGAAAGTTTGGATTATAATTTTTTTTAGCAAATTAATGAGTACTAAACCGTAATCTGTGAGCCTAAACCCCTCATAAATGCACGTAAAATATTGAAAACAATTTATGTTTTTAATAAATTAAGGGATACTAACCTTAATATGTTAATTTTAATCCTCACAAATGCACGTAAATAGTGAAAACAATACATAGATCCCAAACCCTATAATCCTACCACCAGTGCCTATATCCAACTACAAGAATTTATCTGACAATATTGTTGTCATGGCCTCACAATCTCAGTTGGACAACCGAAAGGAGAAAGTATGAGACTTATTTAATAGTATTATTTGTTTCTCTTTTGGTATCTTAAAGTTGTTTTAATTTGCTTATATGTATATTTAATTAGAGGTTTATCGTTCTCATCCTGGAGGTTTCTTGTTTACTAAGTTTGGTGGCAACCATACGGCGTTTTCAGATCTTGCATTTCCGGTATAATGACCTGACTTATATTTGATTATTTTCCATTTTCTTTCTGAATAGTAAGGTTCACTAAACTCATCTTAGATTTGGTATTTTTTTTTAGATGTTTTAGCTGATTTTCCATATCATATGCATGATAACTTTGGCAAACTGCACGATATGAGCAAGAAAACACCTAAATCAGTGAAACAAATAACTCGATTATTTCCTAACAAAGTTGCCATCCAGATACCTCAGGTCATACCTTTATTCGTCATATCTTGTTTGAGTACATTGTTCCTTTTCGTTTCATTTTCTTATGCTCTTAAGACATAATTGGATGAAACTTTGCTTTTGGTTTTGGTAAAATCTATCTGAACCAAATCGACTTTTTTTTTAAGTCCATACAATATTTGGTTTGTTTTACAGAATTATGTTAATCTCGAGACGACTAATTTCCCATTATTACAAAATGGTTATTTTTATGTGAAATAACATATTTCATAACGTGGAATATTCATGTAATTTTTTTGGTGTATGTGGCTTAGTTGCTTCTAAATCAAATAACAACCTTCTATGCAAACTTGATGTTCTCATACCTGCAAAATAAGTATATGTATAATTATTTAAAACACTAATAAAAAAATTGAGATATTATTGTTTTCAAGCAAGCAAACAAACATAGTCGTTGTGATACGCTCGCCATACACTACAAGAAAACTGGGCCGTTTCCGACGGTCAAAACCGTCGGAAATCCGTAGGAAAAATGGCTATTCCGGCGGTTCGCCGACGTTTTTGGTCCGTCGGTTCTATCTCGTCGGAAATTAAAAATCCGTCGGAAATCCGTCGGAAATACCGACGGATTTCCAACGGAAAAGGGATAACTGGAATCCATCGGAATCGTTGCCGACGGATTTCCGACGGCCAGAAATTCCGACGGATTTCCGACGGCACGTGTCATCGACGAATTTCCGACAACGCATGCCACCGACGGATTTCCGACGACACGTATCACCGAGAGATTTCCGACGGCCAAAACTTTCGACGGATTTCCGACGGTAGTCAAAACCGACGGAATTCCGACGGAATTATTATTTT